GTTCCACGATCCGTCGACGAGAGTCTGGAAGGGGTCTGTGAGTCGGGCGCCTCTTCCAGGAAGACGCGGGCGGGCCAGCACTGCTCGGTGGGAAGAGGGCCACTGCAACAATTCGAATATCCATGTTTTCGCCTGCCATGGATATACTGCATCTTTCAATGTGAGCAGGATGTCAGAATGTGGCATGTAAACGTGGTGTAAACCATAGAGGCCCGGCACTGGGGTTTACACGAAGATCCCTCTGACAATGATGGGGTGGCATCCTCCTAAAGAAGTGACTACTTTGTTGAGCCATCGTAGGGAACATGAAAGTGATATGTACTGTGATATGTGTATTAATTTATATATTATATTTCCGTGTGTTGGAACACTTCCACACAGATCTATACTATCTAAATACATATTCGAAGATGGCTAGATATTCGAGGAGCATTGTCCAGATAAAGTGCTGGAGCGCTCAACCACCTCATACTGAATGAAAAGATCCTGACTACCCTGGTATTAACATGTCCTGACCAAATTCTACCCAGCCACTTCAACCTCTGTGAACCCTGAACTCAAACTCAAACGCTGAAAAGAACCTCAGATTGGAACCCAAGGATTCTTCAGAGACTTCTCATTGTTGTCAGATAGAAACGGTTTCCAGTGCATTCTTGTGAGGATCGACGTATCTATCTAGTTGGAGGTCTATAGGGGACAATTGTCTTCCACGGGTTGATTTTTGAGGGTCCATGTTACTCAGGGGTAAGCAAGCAAGTCTGCCTGGACATTTACAAAGGACAAAGCTGTTCCTTCAGAACAAGGTGTAGTTGCTTAGAGCTCTGCCTCTTGGCACCCGGCAATCTGGCACATGCCCCACCCCAACAGAAAATAACTTACAGCGATGGCAAAAGTTGTGTCTGAGACCACCCATTCATTTCAGGTCTATGATCATTTAGCAACTTGTGTCAGTTTGTTTCACCTGCTATTGATGTATTGTTTCAATGTACAAACGTAAAGGTTATGCCTCACCCGTGGCCCGCGGGCGTATGGAATTGCTCATTTCTATGCATGGCTGCTATTGATGTCTCAAAACTCTCATTCTGCCTCCAAGCGAGTCCTGCCTCCAAGCGAGTTCGTCAGCATCCTTCACAAGACCGTCACCGAGACCGTCGCCCTTGCGCCGGGATCAAGTCGTCAGCACATTTGGGGCGCCCGACAGTTCTTGGAAATCCAGTTTCCTCGGTCCAGTCGGTCCACCCGACTCCGAAGCAGTCGGTCACCCATGCGACGAAAGCCTAGCAAGCAAGCAACAGCCCCAGGAGGAGGTTCCCGTGCCATCAGGGGGGGGCCGTCCGATTCTCGGGTCCGTCCGCCGTGGTCTCGGACAACACGTTTGGATCCATGCAGTGACCTGTCCACCACGTCCCTTGGGCAGTGGGCAGAGCGAAGCAAGGACGAAAACAAAAGACTAGCCCAGTGACGGGTACCCCAGGTTTTCCGGGTCCTATAAGGTCAAGGTCACCTAACCTCTCTGACGTCTCTGAGGTATATAGAGTTCTGAACGAAAACATGCCCAAGACTCATCTTCCCACATGATGGTGACCTTATTTGGGTGCATTCGTCCTTCATCTGGCCCGAATATGGTTTAAACATGTTTAAACAACGAACATCTTTGGGTTTGCACCTTGGGTTTGCGCCATCTACTCTGAAACCACTGCAGGTGCAGTTTTGGCTATTGTAGGGCACTCCGAGACCAGTAATTAGACTGAGTAGGGGATCACCACAACATCTGACCGCGCCAAGCTTCCCATCTCCGCTGACGTCGCCTCTCTTGAAGCGGGCCTTCACGGCCTGCGAAGAAGCCAGCGCGTTCCCGGAATTCTGACGTGGTAGGCTACCCTGGATTCGGCCCTTCCTGCCGGTTTCCCCAGATGATGCGGAGCTCAGCGATCCCAACTGATGATGGCGAAGCTTGCGTCGGGACGCAATGATCCCCTCTTGGAACTCAATATCATACGGAGTACTGACACCGAGACACCGATGGTTGGTTGATGGGGGTCCATATAAAGCACCGAACTTGGGGTAACTTGTACCATTTACTCTGAGACCACTGTATTTTACTTTTGTTCATTTTGATATAATATTGATGATCATTGATGATTCACTTGGGAGCCAAAAAGGCCATCTGTAGCATTTCGATGCATTTCGAAACAACTACTGACTTACCCGAATTGTGAACCCTCCTGCCCTTGACCCGAATCTTTCCCATTGGAGGACCCGGATTCTTAGGGTAGGTCTTGGATTTGCTTGCTCAGAAGCCGGCGAAGTAAAACAATCTTCCCCAGAAGGGCATTGACCGGGAACACATCTCCCTAAGCAAAATCAAGTCTTCTTTGTCTCTGCCAACGGTCTGGCACGTTTTTGCGCCTTGCAGGTCTTGCCTTTCAGCGATCTCAGCATGGGGGCCAAAAAAAAAGAGGCAACGGCCTATAGCGATGCAACGGCGAGGAAATCCCGTCCTCAGTGGAATCAACTCAGTTAAACAGTCTTGACTCAGTGATGCGAGCTTTCGAGCAGGTGTCGGTTTCTCCACCTCCAATCAAGAGTTCAGTCATGCGACACGATACAGAAATGAGAGATGCTAAAATGATCCAAAATGTATTCCAAATTTCACATGCAAAAGCAGCCCTTTGCTAATGTGGCTCGGGCCTGATACAATTCTCCTGCCCACACCTTCATCCGAAAAGCAGCGATATGGACAAGCCAACAGGCCAACATGCGGCACCCAAGCAAATCAACCACAAAATGTAGGGTAACAAGCACCCCAAACAAAACACCCCGGGGAAGAACACCCATTCTGACACATCCGCGGAGCCCATAATCTGCCTTGTATAAATTGACATGTTGACTGGAACTGGGTATAAGGAACGGGTGCTTGTAGAATCTTGTAAATCATCCAAAACATAACCACTGGCTATGAGTAGCTAGGTGAAAGGAATTGCTGCAGCATTGGTGGATCCCATTTTCCTCACCTTCTCAGGATGCAAGGGTACCAGTGTGTTCATGTACAATGTGTGACCGAGCAGAATACTCGTTTTACCTACCGTCATGTGGTGTCAGGGATGAATGTAGGTATATCTTTTATTTTCATCATACCTAGCACTTCCGGGTGCCCAATGGAGACCTGTAAGTAGGGTAGGGTCGGTTTTCTATTGGACACCCATTTGGATGACCCTGGTATATATTGCATGCACGGGGTTGCTTCCCAAACATGCTTTCTTAAAACGATGGTTTCCAGGTCTCCAGGCTGCACGTGGCCCACAGTCCAAGGCGCCCGGTTTAAGCGAGAGCCTACACGCTTGACCTGTATAGCTTTCCATGAAGAAACCTGGTCCTCCTCACACACCTTGGAATTATCATGGAAGTGGATGGCTCCGAAAGGACCATGAAATCCTCATGCCCAAACAGCTGGGCCATGACTAGTCACCATGAATTCTTACGAGTGGCATTTCGTTTCGCTCCCCGAGGGCGCCCATCCCCACACGCTCGATTTTGGCGATCGCACGACGGACATGGTTCTCTCGCGCGACGACGGGGCCGATTCGCCCCGTGACATTCCGTGCAGTTCAGGTTCGTCACTGGGTGAGGCTCCTCCACCGAGCTTGCTCGTGTAGAAAAAGACGGGGGACACACAACACCGCGACCGTGCACGGTCACCCGGGGTGTCCCATCTAATTAAAGAAGTAATATATGTTTGACTTCCGGATGTAAAGCGCTTAAGCAGCTTCATGAAGAAAGATTAGGCGTAGAAAGTTCAATGCTGAGAACCCAGCAGTCCAGCAAATGCCTGGTTGCTTTAGCGGGGCAAGTAAGGGGTGTGTTTGCCCAGAAAAGGAAGACCTGCTGGAGAAGCTCCGGCGGATTTTTCAGATCACTAACTCACGCAAAATCGCAAGTTCCCTAATCTAATCTATGTGCATCATCCGATTCAAGTTCCTACCCTTTGTGCTCCAGCCCAATCAAATTGTTGTCATGCAATCACTCACTGACCTAATATGTTTTTTGGACCCTTGGATGGTTTTGGACCCTTCATTGCAAGGAAAGCAGGTTAAATCAACATAAATCAACTTAAGGACCTAGCACTTCCAACGGGTGCCCAATGGAGACCTGTAAGTAGGGTAGGGTAGTCTATTGGACACCCATTGGATGACCCTGGAACTTAAGGATGTAAAAAGAACTCTTTGATCCACGCCACATCCAAACGTTCCGATTTGCTCAGTTTATTTGAGATGACACGGGAAATGTGCTGGCCCATGCTAGCCCTAGGAAAGATGGCCTCCATATGCCTCCATATAGAGTTCAAGAGGATGGCATGGAAAGCACACCAGGACCATACAATGAGTGTTCAATGGACTTCTCGGTGATCACACGTCCTGACTGCCTCAGAAAATCATGGAAAATCAAGGGTTAGCCATTTCCCACCTGTTCCTCTTAAGTGGTTGCCCCCCCCTGTTTCACCAAAGGAGCTGACCTAAATGATCCACGTACCGCGTGCCACTGCCCAACACCCTGCCGTCGCCTCACCTTCCACCCCGTACAGCAGCGTTTTAGGAAGACTCTCCTGGCTCGAGCTAAGCTGGACATCGGTGGCTTGAAGGTGTCACGAAGTGGACTTCGTGGCCTCACATTGACGAGAGGATTCTTCCACTGATTCAGTGGAGGATATGGATATGTGACTGTAGTCAGTGGAGTCTTCACCTGTACAATCTTCAACTGGCCTCCTTCTGACTCGGATTTTTTAGAATTTGGACTCTCCACACGGACTCGACATCTTGCATCTGCATCTCCACGATCAGGTTCGGGTTGGGGAGTGAACGCCCATGGCGCCAATTTCACCAGTCGAATTGAATTGCTCTGAGGGTGCAAATATTCCCTGAACTGCAATGCAAGAACGTCACCTGCTAAAGAATGCACTTCGGTCAACATGCGCCAGTGCGGGAAAACCATGGGAAAACCACGCATTTGTTGTTTCACTGCCACTGAACATGAGTGGGAAACTCCTGGTCCTTGGCTGACGGATGTTGACCAAAACCCACCTGCTTTGTAAAGCGTTTCTTTCTTTGTTGCCTGTACCATCCATTGGTCACCATGCTGTGTTCGGGGCGTCACTGCACACCACAGCCGACACAAAACCCGGCCTTAAAAAATGCACCCATTGACACAAAGACCCCACCCATTGGTCACCACGTGCCTGCAAAGAAAATGGAACTCTGCACTCCAAGTCCAAGGGAGGGCTGTCGAGAGATATCGATGTCTAGGGCCGTCTATGGGAAGCCATGACTCCGGACCAGGCTCTCCCCGAAACGCCTTTGATCATCTCGCTCGCTCGTTGCACAGCCGCCAAAAGGCCTAACTGCAGGTACGCAGGACCCGCTGCGCCAAGCGCAGCGAGTCCAAGGGGTCCACCGTTGCAAGGCTTTGGCCATATATCCCTTGGCCGAATCCCGAAGCACCATAGTTTTGCTAAGGACTTTACATTGCAAAACCTGGTCAACCATTTGTTTTATGGTCTTGGAAGTCTGGGGGGTGCATCACTCCACCCTAAAAATCCGGGGCCCTTCCATGGCAGGGGCCAGACACCGAAAAGAAGGGGTCCGGACCCTCAAAACCCTTTCCCATTTAAAGGCCCGGATTCTTAGGGCAATGTTGATTGTTCATTTGGTTATTTGTCTCACAGTCAGCTAGCATCTCAACAATCTTGGCTGGTAGCCAGAAACTAAAGGATCGAACTACTACTGCATCCATCACAAATACCCCATGTTGTCCCATGTTGTGGCTGCTGGAGCAATAGAGGATAGAGGTATACCAAACGTAGGGTGCACCCAAGTTCAGAGTACATGAATGCACATGAAGCTAAGTCTACCAAAAAGACGTTCTCCCTGAGGGAAAAAAACAGGTTGACAACTTTGCATTTCAGTGGGCACAATCCATCTATCAAAAAGGTTGTTGCAAAACATCTGCTTAACGTCCTGAGTGTACATGAACTTGTACATGACACCTATCGCAATTGCACCAAAATCTCCCAAGATTTGGCTTCGCATAGGGCCTGCTGAAGGGCCGCCATAGCCAGCCTGGCGTGCGAACGGCGTGCGAACGACGCGGGCTGTGCGACTGGGGGTGACTGGGGCGTGAGATCAAGTGGAAGCTTGGTGGTGCTTCAGGCTGGGTAATTCCTACATGTGTAGGATGGTGGGACCTCTTGCTCTCCCGTGACCTCTACCATGAAAATGGGTGATTGCGGATTCGATGGACCAACTTACTTAGGTGTGGACCGACTCGCAGGCCGTTCGGAACATGCGAGGCTCCAGGCCAGGCTTCACCACTGGCTGCCAAGCCGCTTCACCTCATTCCACCTGGTTGGCTCTCACTGGGGCATCCCCAATGACCCCCCCAAAAAGGGGTGAAAGGATGGTGACGATCCACTTTTAACCTTGCGGATTCCATTCCAATCGCCAACCAGGTGTGATAAAATTCTGACCAAGCCCCCAAAAAAAGAAGTCCACTTCGGCTGTCTTGTTGCACCACCGAAGTAAGTAAAGGAAATTCCGAACTTTGGGTCACCGAAGTAAAGACCAATTTGTTTAAAGAGTCGACTGTCGACTGGACTGCCGCAACTAGACCAATCCACAACACCCGGTGATGCACAGAACAGCACTCAAACGGACGAGCTGCGAGAACACCAGGCAAAGCCTATAGGCTGAAGGGCCTTCAGCCCGTTTCAACTGTTGAGGTCCTCAAATGCTTGTGACGCAGTGATTTCGCGGTCAGTTTGTTGCGACAGCCCTGCGGAGTGGGTGATTGCTACTGAACTTCCCCAGCACCACGGCAAAAGACTCTCGCGACTCACTAGAGTGGTTTGCGCTATATTTTCAACTTCCATGCTAGTGGGTCAGATGGCATCCTTTTTGTAGGGTAGTCCGGCATCCTAGTTTCTACAGCTTCCCTGGACGTGGAAGTCCACAATGGATCAAACACGTTGGACGAACGGAAGTGGAGGGACGCCCAAACAATCGAGGAACCACTGGATGGTCTTCGACCATTACTAACCACTTCGTTGAAGGCCACAAAGCAACGGTCACAACCACATTCTGAGAAACCATCATGGAAGCGGGAAAACCACCACCAGCTTGGTGGGAAGACCTGGTCCTCCTGAAACAGGGCGCAAACCATCACTTCACCGCCATGGCCCTGGATGGATCCAGATGACCCGGCATGTGCGGAGACAGGTGCTGTGGAGGGTCGGTCCACGTGTCCAGTCAGGTGATGTGGTCAGCGGCCCCGGTGAGGCCCCCCCCAAGTGCCTTCGGTTGGTCAGGCTCGGCTGCAACGAGAGGACCTGGTAGGGGAAAGAACCGTGAAACAACGCAGAGAGAAGCCAGGTCGGTCCAGCTTCGTGCTGACGGTTTCCATGATCGGGTTATGGGCCATCAACTTACTCTTTGCTCTGAAAGGGTCTGGTCCAACGATGCTGACGCGTGTCACCGGAAACAATGGGACCTGCCTTCTTGCCTCTTCACATGACATCATTATCCTTTCTTTTTGGCCGCCCCACCCTTGGACCCAACACACGAGGGCCCAAACCCTGCCCAGAGCCCAGGGTTGACGCGCCAAGATGGAATCAATCGGAAAAAAACGTCGCGCCTTGGACCGCTACTTAGCCCAAAGAGTCCCATACACGCCCTACCTGGGACTGCCAGACTGCCGCCCCAGACTTGACCCCCAAACCCACCCCTGGCCGTTTTGAAGGCAGTCCGACATGGCAGTCCGCATCTGGGAGTTGAATGTGTGGCTCCAAGAGAAGAGCCCCATCCAACAGACAATGGAACACCTTCGCCGGAGCATCCATCCGATCCACTGCTTCCGCCGGCGACAGACCGCGTGGCACGTGCCCCCGCGGGTGATCCGTTGGACGCACGATCCCGCCATGGCCACGTCCCGCTGCGTCGGTTTGGACCAGCCTGTGGTGCTCGTGGGGCTGGGGACGGTCTCAGTCTTCTTCACCTGCTGCTTTCACGTCCCGCCAGGGTCATGCAGCTAGCCAGGTGCCCTTCTTGCTCCCTGGAAAGAAGGGGAACTCATGCTCACACCAAATCATCTAAGAGCAACTGAGCTGCACTCAGTCACGGCAAACGTTTCAAATGCTCAGTCACCCTGACATGACCCCGTCGACATCTTCATGAGTACATGGAGTTCACGACAGATCAGGGCAGCTAGCTAGCAGGGAGATTGGAATTTGAGGCTTGTCCCATCTGTGGGGCAGGCAGGCCGGTCATAAAAATGAAGGTATACGACTGTACATGTATGTAACATATTCCATGCATGGATGGTCGGGTTAACCTGGGCTTCGGGAGGGGCATCGAACTTGAAGATCACGTCACATACTCACTGCCGGAAGCTTTACTTACACTATATAGAGTGCACTCTATATACTCCCCTATAGGATCCATGGATCCAAGTGCTAAGTACCTCCTCAACAGGTACGTGGACCCTCCTGGCACCCACCCCAGTCCACCTTCTCAGAGGCTACGACTGGGGGGCTCTGAGCTTCAACTGTCTGTGTCACACGAAGCTTTGCGGCAGCGAAGGTCACTTCCTTCGGGCCTCTGCTTCGGCCGCCGCCGTCGCCTGGTCGACCTGCGGCCAGCGGGGGCGGAGCGGCCCCGCGGCCAGGCTGTGACAGTGGCTGTGACGTGCTCCGGTGAACGGTGTTTGAGAGGTTCCGGAGATCCCCATTGTGCTCATGTGTGTGGACCGTGCAGTTTTACATTCTATAGGATCCCTGCCTAGAAATCCAATGGACTTTTTATTGCCCCTCCCCAGTCAAGGAAATTCCCTTTCGGATCCCCGAGATTCTATATAGGTGCTTCATAGCATTTTATAGCCATGGAGGATGGGGAGACGTCCAAATTTCATCTCGCCAACATTTGGGCCAGCGAATCACGGCTGGGAGTCCCTGTCAAAGAATCGATGCAAGTGGTTCCGAACCAACCAGAGAGGATCTTGTTTGCTCCGAACAACTACGAACCCAGTCGCCGAGTCGCCACCACCGGTTCAGATCCGCTGACTTGACTGGTTCAGTTGTCGAAGTGTCGGATGGAGGTGGAACACCCCTCAGTCGGTGGAGGACGGGGAAAATAGACCATGCAGGACCACCCACCATGGGTGTTCAATGGACTACAGTATACTAGAGTAACCACCCTGCACGTGCTCTGAGGTACGTTGATTGGGGACTCTTTTTACGCTCTTTGATGGCTTGGAGGGTCCAATCACCTTCTCTAGAGGGTGGCAGGTGGATCCTTAGGGACTTGGGGAGTGGATCTTCTCGCCTTCTCCTTGGAGAGCGGATCCTGGGGCTGCTCCTTGCGCAGTGCCGCCAGCAAATCGTTCAGCATGCCCTGGCGGAAGCCGCGGCACGTCGGTGCGGGGTGTCGACACCACCATCATCACCACTGCGCTGTGAAGGACGCGTGGGTTGAGACTGTACTTGTGGAACAGGGGCTCGGGGCTCGGGGCTCATGTGGAGTGGGGGTAGTACCAAAGCGGCTCAGAACCATACCGGCCCTCACCTGTAATCCACGCGTAATCCATAAGTTCTTCTTCTGCAACTTTTTCTTGTCTCCCCACGCCCCACCTTTCCGTGAATCTCATTCATCGGATCTACTACAGCTGTTGCCGCAAAGCAGGGCATGGAACCAAGTCTTGAGCTTCTATGACTTCCAGCTGCGTTTCCCGAAGGATCCGCACCTGAAAAGCGTGGTGATCCGCACCTCAAAAATCCTCCACCTTCAGATTCACCTCAACCAGCCCTCCCTTTCGGCCTTTCCAAAGGCCGGAACCACCTCCTACGGGTGGCGGCCTCCAGCACGGTATCGCCGCTGGTCACGGCCTCGGGCTTGGCCTCGCCGCATGCTTCGCGTCACAAGACCGCGAGGATCGAAACAGATCGGAGGCCCTCCAAAAACGGGTTCATGAGTCGTCATGTTCAGATGACCTGGAACGCCAATTGACCCCAGATGGAGAGGAAAAGGCCCTCTTTTAGGTGGTTGGTGGTCCAAAATAGGTCATTCAGGTTCTAGGACCCTAGGAAACAACATGCCCTGTTCTGGGCCGGGGTGGCGCTTTGAGGCCTAAACATACTACCACGTGGCAAGGACCATGCTTTCGTGGGATGGACTGCCCTACACGACTGGAACCCCCTGCAACAGCACCTGAATTCCAACATCTGGGGAGGACCACTCCCGCCCCCTGGAATGTCCCAAACACTCCATGTATGCCATATATGCCTACATTGACCCCCCTGGCACCACCCCAATGTAGGTAAATATGCAGTGTCTGGGTGTTGGACTACCTCTCCCAAGCCCAAAACGGCCTCGAGAGCTGACCCGATCGCATGCTGGAACGTCCAACGGTCCGCCCAAGTTGGTGGGACTGAGGGTTCCATCATCACAGTTATGGCATGTGATGATCACGGTCCGATATGCAGTTCACATCCAAGGGGGGTGTCCAAATGTCAAGGTCACCTGAATACCAGGGGCCTTTGTTTAAATGCTTTGGAGGCTACATACTTGCCACTTACCTGCTGCTTGTATGCACCGTGCCTGGTTCATAGATGTTGCCACAGATGCAATACAGTACCCGAAATTCTGATATGGTTTGAGATACCACTATGTCTGGCCAAGCACTTAATGCATGCTTCATTTCGTCTCCTGCAGATTATGAACTTCAGTGAACTTCATAATAGCCATTTGGGGCCATTTGTATCAAAGAGCTTCATGACAAGTGCCTCAAGGGCTCAACGCTTTAGCTTTGAAGATTTGCCCTCAAGATTTCTTCATCACCGAAACCACCTGCGATCCTGCGGCAGCCACTTTAGGTGCTCTGAGATCCCAGGGCTTCAGCCCAAAAAGCACGTCGCGCAGTGGTCCAACGAAGGGAAATAGTAGCGACACCCTTTCCTCCTATAGTAGCGTTCTTGCTCCTACTAGTAAGGCCAGGAGCCCCTATAGTAGCGCCCTTGCTCCGCCTAGTAGCGATGCCAGGAGACCCGATCGTAGCGTCCTGCAACCCGTTTTTCGGAACACTTCGCCGAAGTCTTTGGACTCATCCCCCTGAAGATCCTGAAGGGTCACTTGTGTTGGCGCGGACATGTTCTCATTCTCCATTCCATGTCCCTCCAGTTGGGTTGGCCTCCACCGGTTTGTTCTCATTCTCCTTGGCCAGTTCGTACAACCTGGAAGTGCACCATTAGGTGGAGGCACCAGCCCTTCCATGTCGGGGTGCTTAATTGGAAGGCTGAGGTGCAAGCAGCATCCAGTCACTTCGTCTCCAGAACCACCCAGGTTCGGAACTGGGAACTCCGGACTCAGCCGTATACTTAGGTGGAAGTACGCAGGGCGTCGCGGCTTGGCGGCTTGGCCTCTCCTTTTTTGGGGTTCCCGCAGCCTACAGATCCAACTGATTGAAGGGTCTGTTCCTCACCCTGATCTGGACACGTTCGTGGATCCATGAGGTTTTTTCACGGGGGGGGTCAGAAATAAGAGACTTCCCTCATCTCCCCACATCTCAAGATTCTCGTAGATTCCCAGAGCGAATCCCTCACCTACTGCCACCGGAAAAAAAAGAACTGTCAAGCAGCGACAGGTCGGGCCATCGCGTCACGCCCGGGGTGATGTTTCGAAGCTTCAAATCTCCACTGGGACCTCCTGAATTCCAACCGAGAGACCTCCCAAGTGAGTTCGACCCGGGATGTGTGACGGGGTCTGCTGGGTGACGGGAAGATCTGCGGGGGTGATGTGGTGATGAGTCGGTACACGCGCCATCACGCGCCATCACGCGAACAGTTCCCAGACACTCCATGTATGCCATATATGCCTACATTGACCCCCCAAACCACCCCAATGTAGGTAAATATGCCATACATGGAGTGTCTGGGGTTGATTTGAGTCGGTACAAGTAGCATGGTTTGAGGAACGGAACGCATGCCCCCCATGGATCACCCGGAGGACTGAGGATGTCGGCAAACAATCGCAACGCCAAAGATAGCTAAACCAATTGCTGCCCGAATTCCATTGCCACTTACATCATCATTAACCCAGTCTATATGCACAATTACAGTATTTACATGGCAAAAGAGTGGAACACCTTTTGACCTCTGAGCCCTGAGAACTTGACGCAAAGCCTCTTTCAAAACATGTCAAAAACATTGACGCATGGAGAAACAAATCTCCTTCCCCGATGTCAGCACCCACCTCTGACCAGGGGGTCGGCGACCGGGTCGCCTGAAGTAAGAGGCATGGGACTCGTCAGACCTTTGCCCGCTCTTCACCGCTCCTCCTTGAAGTACCCCGCCTCTGCTTAAAGACTTCTTGTGCCAATGGCTCAACTGCATCGGCCATCTTTGGAACGGACCCACCAACGGATGCAACCAATGCCGCGTCTGGTCGACAGGTAGAAGGAACGGACCCACGGCAGGTGTTTGGGATCGTCACGATGTCGCTCCTGGACACACAGTTCTTTACAGCTGACACATGTTTTGCATCTGTGATGCTCTTTGGGCAAAAAGCTGTTGGAACCTCATGACATGTTCGTCGCTGCTTGGAGACCGTCTCTTGTGCTTGGTTGCGGTGCATGTCGAGTGGCGCGACCGTCCGGGTGACGGACAGCGGGCATTCCGCCGGATGGGGGTGTCTTTCCGGAGCTGGCGGATCCGCCAGGAACAAGGACTTGGATTTGCTTAAGGAACCGGGGATCTACCCATAGACCTAGGCTTCCAACCACCATTAATCTAATAGGCTTACCAAGTGTTACTAAGGATTTTACACTACAAAACCAGGTCAACATATATGGTCAGCCATGTTTAATGGTCTCGGAAGTCTAGGGATAGGAAACAAAGAACAGCAAAACCAGGTTATAGCCTGGAGTCCTTTGCTAAAAGCCATTCCTGGAGCACTTTAGAGTCAACATCTTTTTCCAACTGACTCCCGAACCGGAGATGTTTGTGGAAAATTAAAGGTCAACCGAACTTGTTAGTGGAGAGTCGCCAAAGAAACAAAAGGCTTTGCATCCTCTGCGCAGGAACATACTCAGTTGCGATTCGGATCATTCACATCACATCTATTTGGCGCCATTTGTGTCGATGGAACACACTCATTTTCAGAAAGCCTGGCAAAGCTTTCTGCCCTTGAAATGGACCCTCTTTTTGCCCTTTCAGAAAGGAAGGAGTGGCTGTTCCTTGTGAATGGCCAGTCTTGGGGGACCTATCGAACCCATGCCATCGCTGGAACCACAAATGAGATGCTCTAAAGCACCTTGTACAGTGCTGGCAGTGCTGGCAACAGCTCCAGTCACCGATCACCCAAAATCAAAAAGAAACCATGTTCTTTGCACAACTCCATGACCCAGGGATTCTGGAACCATCGAAAAAAGAGAAACAAGGCTCGGGTCAGTCTAACCCGCACATCGTATCATCGCAAGGTGAGAAAGGACATAAGATGACAAACCAACCACCGACTCCGAGTACCCCAAACTCGTGGATGCCCTGAGTCGGAAGGAGCTCGTCCTACCTGGGACCTCCTGATGGGGACGGCCAGGGACATGGGGGGAAACGAGGTCTGAGAACTCTAACCCAAACGCGACCCATGGGACTGCCACTGGGACTGCCGGACTGCCTTCAAAACGGCCAGGAGTGGTGTTAGGGGGGTCGGCCTCTGGAGCGGCAGGCCTATACCAGCTCCCATTGGTCGTGTATGGGTTAGAGTGCTGATTGGATCGATGTCCAGCTTTCGACTTCTCAGACCCCCACGAATTCGATGCGCCGGATGCCGAGGCCGCTTCGGCGTCCTCGATCCGTCCACCGCGGCGGTGGATGGAAAAACCAGAGTGACACAACCTGTAGATCCCCCACATTCTGGAAAGAATTCGGTTGGCATGTCCGCATTCTTCCAGCTAGGTGGGTAGGTAGTGCAGCTCCAACTATAGGGAACTCCAGCCCAAACACATCCTTTGGTTCCTCCTCTTGGCGGTGCACAAGTCGAACCCCTTTGTCGCACGCGAGCAAGTCTCCATGGGACTGGCATCTTTGGCACAGCAGTCGGGGTCGGTTGATGTTGATGAAATCAGGGGCCGCAGATCTGCGGGCGAAACAGAAACCTCAGAGTTCAGGCGTCATCCCAACCGTGCTTTTGTACAAGGCCACAGCTTTGGCAGGTCCAATAGACCTGGGCAGGACGGATTCACATGACATGATTGGCACTTCCAAACCTCTTGAGCCCGATTCTGAGCCGCTTCTATGAAGAATAACTGCTAATTGCTAACTGAAGCTTGCATTCCCGTTCCATTGATTTGTAATAGTCAGGCGGCGGTTTGAGAATTTGAGAACAGGTCGCCCAACAAAACAAGGAGCTTGAGGTCTTACCATTCAAATCGGAGCACCAATCAAGGATCGTCTGCAAAAAGTCACCTACCTGGGGATGTCCTGAAGTTTTTTTGAAGTCTGCCCTAAGAATCCTGACCCTCCATAAAAGGGGTCTACGAGGGGTTGGTACCATTTGGTACCCTCAAAACCCTCGTTTTTGAGGGTCAGGTCCTTACAGTAGGGTGGGCCATTTCACCACTTGAGTTGGTCAAACCATCCATCAAAAATCATCAAAACATCCAAAGTGCCTGAAGCGTTTGCATCTCCAAGGTTCCATAGACATCTACAGTTGACCTCCAATGGTTGCACGAACCCCAGGCCGACAGCCACCATTCAGATAGATGATCTAATCACCCTTTACCGAACGACCATTGTTTTACATTGTTCGACCAAGGGCTTGACACGACAAAAACCAGGTCAAACATGGTCAACCGACCTCTTTTCACGGTCGAAGGCGGCTCCCGCCGCGGTCGCGGTGGTGGTTGAGCCTCGACGGAGTGGCGGAGCCTCCGTGAACGGACCCCGGTGGGGGGTGTCCTTTCCCCCATTCGGATGCGGTGTTTCAATGTGTTTCCATGCTCATCTTCATCCCATAAGCCCAAGGTGCCCCATACCAGGAAGTTTCCACGAAATGGAGGCTGAAATGGAGACTTCAAGGTCGCAGGTGGTGACCTGTGAAGTCGGGTCCTGGTCTGCGATCTCCCTCCTTGGCCAATGCGATTCAGGCCGCAAAGCCATAGCCATCTCCATTCCTCCGGCAGCCATCTGTGGTGCGGATCTGTTTGCCAGTCAGCCTCTCCTGACAGCGAGGGCAGACCTCCTGCCTCAGTGATGGCGATAGATGTGAGGATACAACACCTCTCCGTCACCCCTCAACAAAAGGTCACGATTTGGGCTAGATGTCTTTACGGTTCGTCCGCTGGGGGTCGTCCGCAGGTCAGTCTTTACCTGCAAAGAATCAATTCCTCACAATCTCATCGCGGCCCACGGCCCCTGACCACCTCACTACCGCCTGATTACCGCCAGACTCACTTGGAGCTCTCAACCACCAGCTGCATTGGTCGAAGAGTTTGGGCTGAAACCTCGCCGCCCAGGTGCACGGTGCCCCTGTAGCCCCAGCAGGCTTCGTTGGGGCCCGGGGTGCAGGTGCAGTTCGGATACTGCACCAAATGAGTTCCAGCCACATTCGTCACCTTTGGCGGCCGGAACCGAAGAATTGGAGGTTCTCCGTTTGGAGAGGAAAAGGATGGGAGGATAGGAAAAGGAAGGGCAGCTTCAAAATGGGGATGCACATGGTTCAACTCGTTGTTATTTGAAGTAAGAACCCCATAGCTTCGCTACCTGGGGAATTAGATGTTGTTCGTGGTGGTCATTCTTTTTGGCCCCCTCCGCCACGCCGGGCGGGCACGAAGGTGTTGCACGGACCAGTTGTTGCCAAGGAAGGTCACCGGCGAACGTACGACCTTGCAATTTCAGGAAACCAAACGGCTATCAAAGAATGGGTTCTAAGATTGACTTCTTATGAATTGATCATCATTATGACCCGTGGTTTTGTTTTTTACAGTTTCCTAGTCCCAAAGTGGTTGGGATTTGGTCCACGGACCGCTGATGCTCTGCTGATCAAAAACCTGGCACAGCAACTCCATGACTTTTGATATCCATGGCAGTGGGGCTAGTTACCTTGGCTTCTGATATCCATGACTTCTTGGTGGAGGGGAGAGGTGGGTTTCTTTAGGAAGCCGCCTGGCTTTAGGGCTTCTTGCCCACCTCTTTCCACGGTCCATCCTCCCAAGCACCGCCACACGAGTATGTCACAACAAACCCGCCAAGTCATGGGGGTTAGTCAGTCTCTCTTCTCTTTGCCAGGTGGGTCAGGGGAATTTTTTTCCAATTACATGTTCCAACAATATATTTACCATTATTAACCTGTGAATTGCCACAATGATTTCATGTGAATCTACTCAGGGGTGTTCCTGAATATGTTCCACCCAGACACTCCAAACAGCCCTTGGTCCCTCAAAACCATAGGGATTTGAGGGTCCAAACCCCTCCATATGAGGGTCCGACCCCTGCATATGAGGGTCCAGGAGCGTCTGGGCAATTAACTATTCTGCATGGTGATCTATTAATTCTTCATGTTCCAACACATAGCCACAACAGCACGCTTTCTTGCAAATGGTTCATTTCACCTGCCCCCATGTGGTGGTTCCAGCGTGGAACCATGCACCACACCCCCGAGAAAAAAGCAAGAACTGACGGTTCTCGCCGAGGTGCGGTGACGTCCTTGACCAGTGTCAGACACACCTGGCACATCCAATGCAGGTAATGTAGAATCTTGATCAATAAACCCACCCAGTTCGCTGTAAGAGGTCTTTCAGTTCATTAGGGCCAGGATCATGCAAATCGAGGTCCACAAGCAGTGTAGGGTAGTCATGGGTAGTCTATTGGACACCCATTGGATGACGCAGGGGGGGGGTGTTTAGTAATCAAGTAGATCTACATGATGGGAATCGTTTGAGCCATTTCGTTCCGCTCATTTCGTCACTCGACTGACAGTGACAGTGTGCACACCTGCTACGTGCACCGCTAGGTCCGCGGTCGGTGACTGGGTCGGTGCACAGCTTCTCCACCGATCCCGACCGGCCTCGCGCCGGCCGAAAGCGCGTGGAACGCGGAAAGCACGCGCGTGGTCGTCACAGTCCTCGTCTTGCTCGTTCAGCGCCTTCACGAAGCTTTCCAAGCTTTCAGCCAGCTGCTGCTCCTGCCCAAGCCGTCACCACACCCACTGAAGCCGTTCAGCTTTCGAAGCACGCAAGCGCTCCAGAAGCCCCTTCCAGAATGAATCTCGCAAATGGAATCAAGTGGATAAACTCTGTTGGATAGTCTCGCAAAGGCTCAGGACATACTTTGTTCTGGGCTTGCTGAGCCAACCTCTCAAAAAAGAGGGAAAACAAAAACACATTAGAAAAAAGCTTGTGCAGGATCCACTGGAATTTGGCTGCTACGAGTGCCGTGCTTTGTTCCATTCTCCGTTTTGGCCTGAGGGCTTCTGCACCTGCACCTGCACGTGCTTGAAAGAAAGATGGTCCAACTCGACTCCCGGAGGAGAAATTCTCCCCAGCAGAGAAACTCACCTGAAAGAGCACGCGCTGCTGGTAGGTTGGCACCTGCCAGGGCCACTGTGGTGATGGACTGATGTTGGCCGGGCCGGTCAGGGTCTCACACACATGCCCATGTTGCATATATAACCACCCAAATCCACCAACTGTAGCGGTCATTTTTGCATACATGGGAGGGTCTGGGAACGATTTTAAGCCATGTTTCCTTAGCTGCCCAACGCGACAGTCCTGCCTTCACGCTAGTGACGACTGAAGGTCCTGCTGACCTCAAATCATTCCACTTACCCCAGGAGTTCTTGGGTAGTAGAAATTGATGCTAGGAGCGAGCACCAGGACCTTCGGATCCCTCGGTGGTAGCCTTTTGGAGTGGATTTCTCTTCATGTCTACGGATGTCAGTTTTCACTAAGGTCTATGATACAGGGAAGGAGTGGGTTTCTATACAGTTTTCTAGATGTCTATGATACAGTTTCACTAAGTCTAATCCAACCATCTCCAACTCTCACGGACCTCGGTCTCGCCCGACTCCCGTGGTCTCGCCGCGTCCTCTTCCGTCGATGGACCCACGCGATCCACGCGTCCCGGTTCCGCGCGGAAACGGGGCGTTCCGCGGCCTGGGTGGCTTCTGCAATGGCTTCTTTGATCTGCTGCATGGACCTCGAGATGCTTCCAGGAGTTCGGAGTTCCGAGTTTGGCGTCTTTCCGAGTCGAAGAGAAGAAGGCTCGCGTGGTCGTTGGACGAAAGGAGGGGAGGGTCTCCGCGTTCCAACTGTGGGGGAAGTAAACGATGTGCGTGAGTTCATGGATGAGGGTAATGGTCGAAAAGAACTGGTTGTGCGATTCAATATCCAGTCCATCTTTGAGCATAGTGAATTGAGATCACAACTCCTTCCGGATGCCAACAAAGCTCGCACCTGGGAGAAAAAACTGTCCACAAAAAATATTATACATACCGTATAATGTGTTAGGCTGAGTTGTCTGAGTTGTGTCATATTATATACCCTGGAAGTCAAAGACCTTTTTTAGAATGGTTGATCTGGTTTTCTAGTGTAAAAACCTTAGTAAAACAATGGTGGTCCGACTTCTAGGGTATATATATATATAATAAATGGGTTTGTCAAGTGCGATCGTGTCAAAGTTGGACAACGACGATGGCTCCGAGAGATGTTTGAGTGGTGGTCGCTTCATCGCGCAAGGACACGCACTTGGACACCCCTTCGCTCAAAGCACCTCAAAGAAGGCCGGGATATCAAGATCACTCTCCACATGGCTCGCCTCACGCTATATACAATCACCCTCCACATGGCTCTGCTTTCACCAAGAGTCATCTCCGGCTGCAGGGTTGCCATCCCCAAGTCCTCCCCAGTGAGTGCAGAGCGCACGCACAGCGTCTGGGGAGCGGAGATGGAGAGGCGCAGTTCGGTAGTCCTGAAGTTGGCGACTTTCGAAGGTTTCATTCAATGATGTCCTTTGGGGAATGTTTGTGGGTTGCACACCTGGGTGCCATATACCGAACTTGCTTGTACATGACCAAGGGGCATTTGCTCCATGAAGCAACCAACCAACAGTAAGAAAAGGATGTAAAAGGACATCTTTGGCTCCACTCGGCGCTCCAGAAGCTAGCCCTTAGGCATTGGAACCTGCTCTTCAGGGTAGAAGCGCTGGATTGCGCAGCTTACACCATTCTTAGATGGCAATCTATGAACATCTCTACCTAGATAGACTAGATATCTACAGCGGGTTCCCATCATGGCACAACCCACCAATGTCTTGTTCTTGTGCCATCAACTCCTGGGAGTATTTTCAGCTCATGCCTCCAAAGGATCCTGTCCATCCTGACTGAACTGAGTTCCAGCCCTTTTCGCGTGAGGAACCCGAATCTTTTGCACATGACTCACTGACTCATGGTGTGCACCCATGAGAGGGCCCTAAATGGGCCAGCGAAGGCCGCCGCTTCACCATTTCGGAGAGTTCCGCGTCACCGATTTCGGACTGCCTTCATGCCCCTGGTTCTCAGTGAGGATCCAGAATTCCAGGTGTGGGCGTTTAAGGAGATGGAGGATTCATGTCCCCCATCACCGCAGATCCCTGGAACAGCCCCGACCGTTCTTTCGGGAAGGCGCAGGGGGAAACCGATCTCCGCCGGGGTGTAGGTCCGTTTGGTCAAGGATCTCGCTGCTGGCGGCGTGAGCAAGAACGCTCCGCATGCAGCCCATGCGGTTCCAAAGACTAAAAGCCCACAGACCTAGAAACCTGTACTGTAGCAGTGGTAACTGGAGGAGAAAGCCTGTTTGCTGATTTGCTATTCTTTCCTTTCTCTATCTTTCTCACTTGCAAATTAACATGTGTTGAGTGCTCACGCCGTCAGTTCTGAGATTGCTTTCCTCATGACATCATTGAAGCACAGCTCGCTGCTCGCTGCGGATGTCGTGGCTTGGCGGAAAAAGAAACACTTGTGGACCTCCCAGAACTGGGACCGGGGCCTTCTCTTCACCGAAAAACGTGGAGAAAACGGGTGGAGAGGAATCCGGGTCCAGTATCCCCCAAACCCGATGTGCTTACTGTCCAGCAACTCTCAAAAAATATGCCAACAGAAGAGATTCCCCAGGCAAAAAATTTCAGCAGAACATATTCCCCAACATATTCAACAGAACATACAGTATTCCCCAAGGAAAAAATAAACACATGCACCTTTTCTCCACCAAACCCGATGTGTTGCGGCCTTGGATTCAATAGGCTTGGCCGAATCACCAGCACCTTCGTCCAACCCCGAATCCGCAGGTGTCGGGCCCGTTCGGAGTCTTAGGGTGGTCAAATATGCTTCAATTTTTACAATATCCCTGGAAGTCAAGTCGGCCATTTTTTAAAATGGTTGACCTGGTTTTGTAGTGTAAAGCAATGGTTGTTTGGTAAAGGCCATTAAAACAATGGTAGTTCGACTTCTAGGGATATTCCAATAGGTTCTTGTGCACCAACTCGATGAGGTCAATGGTGGTGCCAGTCCCACTCACACTAACAGAATTGATCTGAAGCGATCTTGAATGGGTCTTGTGTAATTACCAAAATTGCTAAAACGGTCCCAATGTAGGAAGCAAGCTGCATCCTTCCAGTTAGCTTGATGAACATGTGTTCACGGCGCCGCCGTGAAACACATGGCGAAAAACAAGTGGAGCTCTGCCTTTCCCCCCCAACCTGCTGGGCATGTTCACAGCCCGCGGTGATGGAGGAATGATGGATCCCCAAAGGTTGTGACACCAGAAAACCGGACACGAGGAGCTTGGTGGTGACACGACTGGTCTTTCGCTCCGGACGGCACGGTCTAGCGCCCTTTGTTCCGCCCGAGCGAGCCACGTCGGACTGCGTGTCCCCGGTTTTAGTGGAGGCCGTGACGAGCCAGAGGCCTTCCATCACAGCTCTGACGTCGGACGCACGCCTCAGCTACAAGTTTGTGAGAGGTTGTGACAAGTCCTAGTCTACATAAGTGTATTGAAAGTAACTATAAGTGACTAAGTGTGTGTGTGTACATATATATATATATACATATACAAAATCAACGGGAACCCAGCTGTGATACATTCATCAATTGAAACCGAACTCGCAAGTTCTACTAGTGTTCTTAAGTTAAAATAGGTTTAGATGGTTTTTCTTTGCCCTGCTGCAGCCCAGCTCCGTGCATCACCTTCCTTAGCCTAGTGGCCTATGCCTGTGATGTCTACATCAACCATTGAAACTTCATTCTATAATTATGCGCAACCATCCTGTAGTGACTGTAGTTGATAGAATATGAACAAAATCCGAACACATGAGCCCATGACCAGCTGGTGTTGTTCTTTTGTTTGCCCATCTAGCTAGCTACTCCAAGATTATCACTACAAACACATCGTATACATCTGCCGCATCGTTCCAACTGATCAATCACTGGAGTCGACCGCTCCGCCGGTCTCATGGTGCAAAACACTCGACCGGTCCCCAGTCCACGGAGTCGACGCTCCATGCCTGGAGGTCGTAGCTTAGCGTCCGAACGCTCCGGGCTCCGGGCTCGGCCCCGGTCGTAGCGAACCTTGGTTCCTCCGCCCCGGTCGTAGCCTGATGGGTCAGTGCCAGACCAACAATCCAAAACCATCTTTTCATGCGGTTTCGAATCAAAACTAGAGCTCAGTCAAATGGTACGTGGTTTTCCGTGAGTACTCCAGTAATTCATCAACCAACCCAAGGCAATAAAAGCCGATCTGTGCCATATGGAATCATATGGCTTCTATGGAACGTAATGTTTCTCCAACCTCTGAGAGCAGCTCCATAACATAACCCGGAATCAATACGATTCATCATATCAAGCAGGGATAACACCAGGTTTCCAAAAGAAAAGTCTTCACCGCCATTACTCCCTGAAGCCACCATGATTCACCACCAGAGCCCCCCCCACAGTTTCCAAATACATCCCGCACTCCAAGGCGCTCTCTCGAACCTTTCACCCTTGGCGCGAGGAAGGCGAGAAAAAGCCGCCGCCGCTTCTTTCCGGATGGCGAGCTCCAACACCCGGGCCATAGAATGGGGACACACTGGCACACCATGCGGTGTCATGTCCCCGGACCAGCGAAAGTGTGGAAAATGCCACACACTTCCTGCAATCATCAGGTGAATTGGTGCCCTTTGGGTTCCATTCAGTTTGGAAGAGAGACAGCGGCGTCGAGGCGGCGATTCGTCTTTGTTTGATTTTATACGGCCGGCCATACCGAAGCCAGCTGAGGCGTATTGCGAAGGTCAAAGGTATGTAATGCGAGTGAATGCAGGTATTGAAAGACATATTCCGCTGCCATACGGCTTGCTTATCAACTCATGCGCATTGAGTCTATTGATGTCAATTCATAGTGCACTAGTATGCACTCGTCCCTGGACCAAAATGCACCCCAAAAGCAGCACCCGCATTCACACGTACATAGTGAGACCAGCGATGTTGAAAGAAAGATGCAGTAGCTCAGAGGTATGTAGTACGTCGTACCCCGTCCCAAGCAAAATTAGAAAAAGTCACTGCATGTACAATCCTCAAACATCCTCAAACTATGTTGATGTCTGGGGGTTGGATCCCTGTTACCCATAGTCAGGCTATTCCAGGATGACTTCCCAAATGAACCAACTGCCAGCATCTTGTCCTTCAAAATACACTGCAGTATACACTGCATGGCCCCAAGCAACAGGCAACCCAACTCAGCCATAGCCTCGTGAGGTCTCCAATTCCTTCAAAAGATTGATCACATCCGTGGACAACGTTGTTGTTGTGGTCGTTGTCCGTCGTCGATACCTCCGATGTTGCCGACGGATTCCAGGCATGCAAAATCCACTCTGGTTATTGAATCTTGGCTCCAGCTAGCGGCTATAGCCTGTATGGCATCAGTACGCAACTGGATGCGCGCACAAACCGTACCACCTCTACTTTCTGATGCGCTACTTCCACCCTCGATTCCCTCATGCAACAGCGTCTGTGATTCAGGGTCTCGCATAGAAAGCAAAGCCACTGAGCGCGCAAAGAAGAAACAGGAACACACAGAAAAGGGTTGAGTAGAAAATAAACACATACATCATACATCGTTCATCATCGTTCTGAATAAAGGGCGCAAAGGAAAACAGGAAAAACACCCATCGCGCTGGGAATCGAGGATTTTCCCGCCGAAACCATCGACCACTTCGCGGACAGATCCACAGCTCGAGGGTGCGAAAGGCGAAGATAGCTGCAAACTGCTGGCTGCAGTCACACACGTGTGCTCACACTTTTGCCCGAAAACGTGCTATCATTATTCCCTAGGGCTCCAACCACATCCTCAGAAGGTGGTTGGGGTGGGTTTGGGTGGTCCAACTACCTTCTGATTCTGATGTGGGATGTTTTTTTCTAATTAGTTTCCTAACCTAAAGAAGACCAACGCCACTACCAACGCCTGCATTTTTGATCATTGGCAGCCTTGAAGAACACTTCCCAAGCCGTGGCCCTTTCTCTCCAGTCCCTTCGACACGAAGGAGTGGTCGAGTGATCGTATCATTTAGATGCGTTTTTAGACTATTAGGGCGAGATGAGAAACCTGAGTTGGCAAGGTTATTGTACAGGACCCCCCCCCATGCCAATGAGATTGAACCGATCCAAATTGGAAATCATCTGAGAACTGAGAACCAAATACCACAGAAAACCCCATCTAAAACTGCCACAGGAAAGAGATCTCTGGGCATCATCAGGCTTCTTGCCCCAAAAATCCGCACCACGTCGAAGCGATTCCGCTCACTCCTGCTGGAGCCAAGCAGGAAAAGCAGCAGCGTTGGGGCTATGGCGACCTCCGGGCTGCATTCAAAATCTTCTTTGCCTCTTCATTGTCTGTTAATTGAGTATATCCAGTTATATCTGCACTCTAGATTGGAGGCCACCGCTATTAGGTTGGAGGATGTTGGAAGCTATTGTTTCTAGGTACGTGCGCCTCATGAGGCGACATGAATCCAAAGAAAACCGACCCTAAGAACAACCTTAGACATGCCGCCCAGTCACTTCTCAGCGGCTCAAAGGGGCTTCCCGCCGCTGGAAAGGGTGCCCAGTGGCGAGCCTAACCTCTGTGGCGATGCCAGTCGGTCGCCAATGTACCCAGCTGGTTGACCAACTCTCCTGCAACACTTCAAGGCCACGGAACAAACATCTAAACAAACATTTGGTGAAGAAACCGTCAGCGAAGAAACAAGCAAGCTCCACCAGCCGTCCATGCTGGAAAAACACGTTTTTTCTGTTTGCAATTCTCCCTCGTCATTTGCGAGAAAGGGCCCGAAATGTTTGAGCCTCAAGGTGATCAACATTAGAAGCAAGCCTGGTCTGCGCAAACAAAAAGCAAGACACCAAGCAGCGACAAAAGGACTGGAACGGTTTGACCTGCACTTTCGTACAAATAGAGGTCGTTGGTGAGGGTACAAGTGGTTCCACGGCAACCTCCAAGCACCAATATCGCCCACTGCTCGAAGCCGGGACTGTAGTCCAACCCCTGGCAGGTTTCTCACGCGCCACCATTTGTCAGAACCACGGGGTTTCCTTCTTGGCGTTTGCATTGAAAAATCCTACAAAATTGCAGATCGTTGACCACGAATCAATGATGGATGTTCATAATTCACCCGCAACAACAGGAACAGGAGCAACAGAAGCAGGAGCAGCACGAGCAGCACGAGCAGTAGCAGGAGCACAGGAGCAGCAGCTAGCAGCAGCGGCAAACGAAAAGCACCAGCAAAGGAAAATGATGTAGACTCTTGATTTAAAAAAACCTTTCCAATTGTTGGAAGTCCTTCATATCGGGGGTTTATTAATCAAGACTCCACATTACAGTTCAGAAGAGTCAGCTGTTGTTGCTGGTCTGCCGCTCTTGTCTGGTCCGCTAAATGTTTTTCTCATGTGCAATAGCAACCCCGTGCGCGCATCGTGCCCAAAACATGTCTCCAAATATGCGGTTTGGGTACGCGCGCGCGGTGCGTTCCCAAAAAAGACGCAAGCGATGAAGGCACACGTTACACGTGTTCGGGCACAGGATGTTGCTGTGCATCCACCATGTGTGGCTGCTCGTTGCACGCTGCAAGCTCAGCTATACAGACAAACGGGAGGAACCGGACCAGGGTGAAGTTGAGCCCTCAAGATATCAATGCGGGCAGGGGAGGCAACTTCCGTTACGTGCGCTGTGGCCAGCCCATTTTCGAGCCATGGCCATGCAAGTCGCGGTCTGCATTGGCGTTGAGGGTGGGGCTGTGGCCGTTCACAGTGGTTCTTGTGGTTCACATGGTTCTTGTACCGGGGGGGTCTCGTGGATGATGGCAAATACAGATGATGGTGACGATGATGAGGAGGATGGGCACGAAAATGACGCTGGTGTGGCTGGTGTCGCCGCACGGGCATTCACACGACGATGATGAAGAGGATTGTCGCGATGAGGAGATCATGATCAATAATAATATAGCAATATTGAGGGGCATGAATGAGGATGTTGACGATCTGTTAACGTCGTTGACGGTGCTGATGACAGTGATGGCAATGTTCGGAAGAGTCAGGTAGCCCCTGGCTATGCTATACCCTTCGTGAAACTGGGGCAACAACGACGCCAGTCAGTAGCACTCACCATGACAGTTTCACCACACAGCCTGGCGGTGTTTCAAATCAGTGGACGGCAGTGGATCCGGTTCAGAAGGTGACGACATTGGAGCCAAGGTTCGGAAGGTCAGACTCAGGAGCCAAGTCGTAAAACGCCATGTTGAAGTATCAGGTAATACCGTGAAGTGGCTGGAATGCCTGCTAGGGTTGTCTGTGTGGTATGCTCATCATTTAAAAGCTGTGCGAGTCGGTAGTCTCGCGACATGCAAATTGAAGGGCGAAAGGTCGGTAGAGCATCGTGAAACGCAGCAGAAAAGTCTGAAGACCAACCATGAGAGGGTCTGTGTTGTCCATGCTTCTGGCCCCTCACTTTCGTCCAACCAACTGCCTTATAGTTGATGCCACGCACTTTTCTCAAGCCTTCGAAAGGTTTGGTTACATCTGGAAGGCTCTCATCAAACCAAGCCAGAAAGATGTCACTGACTTCACGCCAATGAGAGGTCGTGGGCAACAGACAGGCAATCACCACGAATTTGTTCAATGAGAGGGTGTTCCGTGGGCGGAGCATGACCTTGGCTGGATGTCTGGGCGAGTGGCTGCAGCCAAGCGATCTTTCTTCTGAAAGCTGAGCACGCGGGTGTCAGATACCTATGATTATCACAATGATTTGCTTGTTCCAGTCTGCGTCTAATGGGGTTAGCTTCAGTCCAAAAGCTGTCGAAGGCTGAGCGCAGTTGAAACGGTTCTTCCACCGGAGATGGCGACGTGAGCGTGTGAGATGGCGTTGGAATCTGCCACGGGTGCTGCACTGCCTGGGCTTGATGGCCTGGACGCACGCCTGCCAGGCCAGCAATCAGCTTCAATGCCAATGTTTTTGAGGGCGCCGGGCGGGCTTCATTTGCTTACCTCACGACGAGTGTTCCGTCCACCTATGAGACGATTCCAGTCCACTTCTCGTCGTGGCTCACATGTGGAGGCCCAGCGGTCTAGCATGGAATGGTGGTGTTGCGCTGCGGCTGCGTTGGCGGAGCAAAGGTTGCCCGTTGTGAGGACGGCACCAACCTTGGGGTCAGCTTGCGCAAATCTGTGTGAAGCTGCTCGGCCTCTGCATTCGTACACGCATTTTAATTCAAACCTTTGGATTCTGGAATCAAGGGAGGCTATTTGTGCTGTGTGGGGGCCGGAGAGTCACTTTGGAACACAAGTTTTTGTTCACTTTGGAACACAAAAGATGCGTCACTTTGGAACACAAAACACCCAAAAACCATGGAAGGGTTAACAAAAAACGAGATCACTTTGGAACACAACGCACCTGGTTTTTGGGGTCACTTTAGAACACACACACAGACACGGATGGGGAGGGTTTAAAGATGAAGGATGGGGTGGGGTGGGGGGGATGGGGTGGGGTGGGGGGGGACAAGGGCATATAGAAAGACGTATTCATATACCACACCTGTTTTTTGTCTATACTGTCTATACTCAAGAAAAGGTTAAAAGGTAAAGGATGGGGTGGGGGGTGGGGTGGGGTGGGTTGCAGTTAGCAACCAGGCAGTGCGACTCTGAAAACGTGTTCCGAAGCGATCACATTCCCGCGTTCCGAAGCGATCGTTTTTCTGCGTTCCGAAGCGACTACCTCGCCCTGTGTGGGCATCAACTGTCTGAAGAACTGTGTCTTGACGAGCTCCTTACACCAGGGCCTCCAGGGAACTATGAGATCGTTGGTCACACAAAATACCGATGGAAGGTGCTGCCATTGGGTGTGCTGCCGTGTGAAGTGCGGGGAGCATGCCCTGGAGTGGTGGGAGCACAGCGGCGCTGTTCTTTAGAGGTAGTTATACCTGGATCCTCCTTTGGGCGGAAAAAAGTGCCGGACCTCAATCCGGCAAAATTTTCCGCCGTATTCCGAACAAAACGCCGGAGACCTGAAAAAACATCCGGATCCAAGATTCTGAAAAACAGAGATGATAAAAGGTTGGATCATACACAAGGAAATTGCCTTTGCGCCGCGAGTAGTTTTTCTGGAGCACACTCGAACCTTCCCGTTCCCATTGCCCTCGCCCATCTTCCGAATGGCCTAAGAGCAGAACCATCACAAAATATTAGCATTTTGTGCCCAAGCAAAGACTTCCAAGAAGAAACCAATGAGGATGTGGAAATGAACTCATCTTTCTCTGCAACCGTGTCTCTAAAGTATTTTTTTACAAAGTGGGTTGCTCTCCATGATTTTTATGCTTCTTAATGTTTCTTTAAAGCTTGCCTCAGGACGGCCCCCCAATAAAGTAGCACTCATGGTTCCTGTCAAAACTCTTCTCTGGAAAACTGTTCAAAGTCAAAGCCTGCAGAAGACTCAGTCCAAAAAAATACGACGGAGTTACGGGAAATTACGCCGGAGTTACGGGAAATTACGCCGGAATTACGGCAAATTACGCCGGAGTTACGACGTGCATCGACGTGCTATTTTTTGACAACTCTCTGCAAAACATTGAGATTCTGAACAACACATGTTCCACAGCCCAAAGCTTGTCCGGCAGGCTCTGCAAACCTGCGCAACTAGAGCTATATCCCAGCGCCCCGACATCCTGAAACAATGGGAGTACATTTTGCCTATGCTCTTTCAGCTTAGGTACGCCCACTTGGGTCTTTCAACAGGTGCATCGCACTGTACCGGCTTCATCCGATTTCATTTAGAAGATCACCTGTGAACCATGCTGAAACCGGTGGAATGCGAAAACAGCGGAACAGGCAAACGAGCACACTTTGCAAACAAAATCATTGCATCAGTAGTGGGTTTACTTCAAAGAAATGCAGACCACAAAGAATGCAAAGCCTTGAGAATCCACATAGAGTGACTTGGAAAAAGAGCCGGACCAAATCCAGAAAAACGCCGGAGTTGGAAGTCCGGCGCCGGACCCTGTAAAAGTGCCGGACTGAAGATCTAGGTATATGGAAGATCTACAGGACTCGCACCCTCTGGAGGGTCTTCAGCATCCAAGTCTATCGGCGAAGCATGATCCAGATCCAGAGCTAGAAATAGAACCCAGCTTATCTAAAGAACCGGACCTTGAGCCAATGTCTTGAGCCGTATTGGATTCATACAGAAAAATTGAATTTACGACTGTCACCATTGAACGTCTCGAAACTATCTCGTTTAGCAGTTTAGCTGCCGGGTCGCTGCTTGTCCCCACACACCGCTTGCACTGGGATGGTGGTAGTCGCTTGGAGACCAATCCCAGAAGATCACTGATGAGTTCCACCATGGCCTACGTGGGTGCATGACTTCGGTCTCACTGTAGGCGCTGGTAGGACTCCACCAATCTCGTCCTGAACGCACCCCTCCCATGACCCTCAATCCAAGGTTGTTGCCGGAGTCTTCTTGGAAAGCCAACCTCAGTCGCGTGAATGACATAGATGCTGCCACTCTGCACCTACTATCCTCCATACCGTATCAAAGAACCTTTGAATACACGTGCTCTTTGCCAAGCAGTTCTCATCCACGATTTGATGCTAGGCCGTTTTCTTCCAATATATTTCAACAAATTGTTTCACATAGTTGTTGCAACTTTCCAGTTTGTCCAGTGTTGAGTAATCATGTTGCCAAACTTGTTTCATTGCATTGCTTGAGTGGTTCATGTGGACTCGCTACTGTGTGCTTGAGATTCGCTGGATTTGATCGAACTCTTATTCAGGTTTGGTCGGGTGTTGCTTGCTGTTGGTTCCCTGTCGTTTCCTCACCCGGTTCATTTCTGGCGCCTTGTTTGAGGAGCGTGAGAATGGGGTGGGCCTCTGAACTGCTGTCAGATTTAGAGTTGTGGCTTGAAACACTTTTGTTTTGATACTTAAGCAACCTCTTAGGCATTAATGATCATAAACCTACCTGCGTTCTTACATGCAACAACGCATGAAACAATTATAGCGCTCTTAACGGTTATATGTTCAACCGTTTTGTGCATTGTCTCCTTGAGCGTGTGTTCGGGAATACCGGCCCGGAAACGCAAAAGGGCAAGAACTGCGAAAACAGGCAAGAACCAGCCACGAAAGCGGCGGAATATGTTTCCACGAAAAAACGGATAAATTGAGTTTCTGGTTGGGTTTTGCAAGGTAAACATGCCTGCGTCACAAAAGAGCGGAGCCCGCAAACTTGAGGCCAGGGCAGGTGAACGAAAGCTAGCCACGGGTTGAAAAGCAGGGTTGGTGCGATGAAATTTTGATATAGGAACCATGGGGGTGATAGGAACCATGGGGCCCATGGCGGTGATAGGAACCATGATTTCATCCATGATCCACTGAGGTATTCCCTGATGAGATCTTTGATGCTAGTGGTTGATTGGGAATGGACATATGGGCAGCCCCGAGGTTGGAAGCCGACTCATGGTGGTTGACTGAGTCCCACTACTGCCTGAGATAATTGGCCTGGGTTTGACAGCCTGAATTTAGGCTTGACAGCAGCCCCACACACAGGGGCCGATCTAAGCTAAGAGCATGTCAGAGAGTTGGCGGCCCATTTCATCTACGCAAGTCAGCCTAAATGGCTGACGTTTCTTTTGGTGATAGGGGCACGCCTGACAGCAAAAGGGTCAGAGTCAGGCTTGATATTGTCAGGTCAGAGTTCTGTAGGTGAGTAGGGCCTGAAAGATGGTTGTTCGAAAGTGGCATCGCTTTTACTTCTTGCTGTGTTTGACTGCTGGTAGCTGAAACAATAACTAATAGGTTGTGTGGCTTTGCGATATTCAATTCAGCCGCCATGACAGGCACACAACTGCATGACGACAACCAGTTGGACATGGCCCGGGTCCCCAGACAGAATGTGAGTCTCAATCAGGCTGGAGAAGCTGTAGTTGACATTGAATCTGGTGCATGACAACCTGAGTGCCATGATTTGGATGATTGTCTTGCCTATTGACGGTTGCAGTCGTTCAATTACAGCAGTTTACTTTCCGTCGCCAGGCCTGACCACGGACTGCTTTGCACACAACATCTTGTTGGGGATCCCTGACGCATGAGTTAGTCCGTTGGAGCAACCTAGACGACTCAGATTTGAACTGACTCACTTAGTAGCATCAATCATCATTGTCATGTTAGGCTATCTCCGACACTATTCGTCACACTGTTCATTTCAGGCGAATGGCGTGGATCAGCTGGCAGACATGATTTGTTCGGTAGCCCAGACAATCCGCAGTGAGTGTGAGAGCAGCGCAGTGCCTGCAGGCTGTTGCCTGAAATGGACTGACTGGCAGCTGTGTTTGATCAAACCCCTGCAAGCTTTGGGTGAGTGACTGAATTTGACGTTTGTCATCATGGCTGATCCTCGTGATCCTGGCACTACACAGCCCGACAGCCTGGATGAGGAGAACAGGAGTGACGTTCATTGAATGAAATTGGCTTCAATCTGCTGAGTCAATGGCTATTAACAAACAAGGTTGTCATTGATGTCAAACACCTCGTTGCCTGACTGTTCAGGCTAAAATGTGCAGGGTGTAACAAGCGGGTCGGCGAGGGGGTTGACATGTCACGTTTGCACTGAACTCAGCGTTGGGCGTGACATTATTGTTTGACAAGAAATCTCACTCACCCAAAAAAGGCAACTCATTTTCCTTTGCGGTCAGTGTTGGGGCGCTAAGGAGTCCAATGCAAGAGCCTGACACAAGGACATGGCTGTGTCACGATTGTGGGCTGACGGACACCGTGCTGTTTGACGAGTTGCCTCGCCACCCGCGCTTTGGATTCCAAATTTTGGATCATTATAATAGAATTGTCAGGACTGACAATAACGACTGACCAGGTGGCTAGTAATTAGGAAGTATTTTTTATCCAAACTCAGGTGTTCTTATGGGGGGGTCGTGATTGGCGCTGAGCAAGTGGTTAAGACCATTCGAGGAAGGCAAGGAAGACGAAGAGCTAATTATTACCAGTCAAACTGCACTTCAGACATGCTTTGATTGACGACTCTCGATTGCCATTATTCAACGCACACTAGCAGGCAGGCAATGGACATGTTATCCCGCCTGATGATCAAGAAGGCTTTGGACCGGGCGCAAGGCTTCCGGCCCACCGATACACATGAGATGCACTGCAAGAGGTTGAATGAGGTACTGACTGACGACTTTGAGCCTCCCTATGCCAGAATGAGATATGAAGGGATGGAAACCTGGCTTCTTACTGAATTTGAATCAAATTGTGACATGATGAAATCATCACGAGGCATTAATAAATATTGTTAGAGCCGCCTATTGGCCTTTTGCCCTGCTCAGGACTCTGTGGTGAGATTGGCTCATGCCGACAGGACTGTTTTCACTGCGGTGCCACCCCGACACTTGAATTAAGTCTATTTGACATGGATTTAATAATGGCAATACTGACTCCTGAGTTTGGGCTGGTGAGTTGATGTGTTTTTCCGCCTCTTAAGGTCTGAGTCTGGATGAGAGTTCTGCTTCGTCGTCTGGCGCCAAAGGCACAGGCAAATCCACTCCTCCGGAAGTTGGTGTGAAGACATTCGGCCTGTGGATTGTGCCTAGAATGGAATGGGAGAAAGCAGAGACTCACGGCATGACCTTTCAATAACTTGTCTGACTCTGACTTTCTTGTGTTTGTGTTTGACAGAATGTTGGACAGAGATAATTCATTGAATGACTGCCCGCTTTTGCATTTTGGCAGTCTGACAGTCAGTGAAATTGATGGCCTGACGGGCGAATAAGTTCATCCAGTGGACTTGACCTTTAGGGGTCGACCCTATGGTCAAGACTGACTCATGGGCATTCATGTGCAAGGGTCTGATGTAATGGCAAGACACTGACTGAATTGATTGACGCATTGAGGAGTAGGTAGGGCTTCAACCAGTGCTGGCACGCTCTGTGTGTGTCAGTGTGTGTAACGACGCTTTAATCAGCATCATGCCTTGACGGAGGTCTGACCCAGCCAGATTGGAAGTGGTCACCTTCCAATCTGTGAAGGGCTGAGAGTGTGCTGCGGTACCATCATCCACAGTTTGCCAGTCACTGGGGGCCTGACAGACTTGTTGAACATTATGATTATTTGATGATTGTGTGGAAGCCTGGCAATCAGTGATATGACTGACCTTCAGCGACAGCAAACTTGATCCTCAGCCATTTTGGTTAAGTTAAAACAAGAACCTGTCTAACCTTCGACCGTTTGACAGTGTCTGGCACATGACTGCCACTGCCAAAAAACAGCAGCAGCGACATTCAAGGCTGGACCGGACATCATTTGAGTTTGAGGTGACATGAGGATGATAGTAAGCTGAGTGGAGTGCAAAGACGACTGATACAGGCCCAGCAAAGCATGCGCTAAGGCTACAAAGGCCAGGGATGTAGCAACTTCAGAAGCTACTAAGAGTCTTTAATCACTGACTGACATGCTATTTGACTGGCTAGTCTCTTAAGTTGAAACATTTGCTGATTAAATTAAAAGTATCAGTTCGGTCACACTGCCCGATCTTGCAAGGCCTGCGAAGATGAAGAGAGGCATTGCACTTAGGGCGTACTGATGATCAGTGAGTCAGAAAGGCTTAGGCTTAGATCAGGCTATCAACTGCAAACTTTCAGGCAGCTGGACAATTTAGTGCTTCCCCAGGCTGGGCTGGGGGTTAAGGATCTTGGTTTTTGACTCCTTTTTTGAACTTGTGACATCATCATCCTCAGAGTTATCAGGCAATCCTTGTGAAGCCAGAGCTTGGGGAGGTTGATGGTGTGAGTCTTGATCAAATCCTGACTGACAAGTTGTTGTGATGCATGAGTCTGTTGTCATCATCATCATCATCACCACCTCAGGCAAGAGCCAGGGTCTTCGGAGAAAGTATTTGGACTCAGAGCCACCACCTTTGGAACAACGCCAAAGTAGACGAGCTTTCTTGCAGAGGCAGGGGGAGTCAGATCTGATAATTTGTCAATCTCAAATTAGTCAAATTTAATATTGTGGCACCGGTGGTATCTAGAGCCAGGCTGTATGACATGGAAAGAAGGAGAAGAACACGTGAGCCCAAACAGCCTGCTAAGTTTGACAGGCCTGCTGAGCCTGTTATTGTGTGTCAGCTGCCTGACGGAACCAAAAAGGATGACGTTGTGTTTATGAACAAGCTTATCAAGGCTCAGCAAAACAAAATACGGTGCTTGACAGTGCGCATGCTGGCCGCAGAATCCAAGGTGATTGTCAATAATGGTCCAAACCGCACCTGACTTCATTGCCTGCTTGACTTTGCCTAACTTTGTAGTAAACATCACCAGACGTGTGGCAGTGTTTTTTGGATTGTTGGGGGCCGGGGGTCATGTCTAAGACTGACATGGCAGCAATGTTTCACAGTCTCAGTGCTTGGCTGTGGATGGGGAAATGAATATAGTCGGCCAATGAACAACGACAATGATTTGAATGGTCT